TGTAGTAATCCCACCTATGTTGGGCAAAGGGTCGTGTGTTTGTGCTTGTGTGTTTTCCCCGCTCTGCCCGGCAGCACCGGTGCAAAGACGCACCGTGACTATCACGCTCACTAATCGACTGGCCGTCATCTCCCAAAGGTAGATTTTCCCCTTCAGAATTAGGATCAGCTAATAGGAGACCCATCACTTCCCTAAGCGTCAACTTTTTGCTTGCCATTTTCGTTTATTTCGTCTCAATAACTCCTAAATCCAGCAATACCGCTTCAGCATAAATAGCGCTGTGGCGCACTATTTCCGGTTTCTCGCCCAACAGTTTGGACGGGTCTTCCTCGAACATTTTGCATTGAAACATGACGTTTTTCTGAGCTAAGGTCTAAGTACGGGATGTCTGCCAACTAGTGGAGGGGAGTATGAATGAGATATAACACTCTATTAGGAGAAAACAGCTGTTTGATTCAGTACCGAGTCCTGTCGCAATTTTGCGACTTTGGCACTTAAAGGGTTAATATAATGTAATTTGTAGATAAATAGAATGAATCTAGTCAGTTCCGATTATCCGTTTATCAGGTTATATGGTAATTGATAACAAAAACACTGAGCTAGGAAAATTCCTGCTTGAGTATGTTGGAAGACACATTTCAGGTTCAGAAGGAGAGGATCTATTCAAAGAGTACTCAGATGTAGATGCAGAATTTTGCAACACAGAATAACTGACTGTTAAATTGTCAGTGATTATAATGTTTATGTCTGTGTGTATGTGACCAACAAATACAGGATGAACAGAAAAGCGTAATCGTAATCACAAAATAAAGCAGGAGAAGAATTTGTGTATGATAGACCCTGTCAATGGTAACATATTTATATTTATACATTTTGTTATATGCCACTTATCTCAGGGATTTCATTATTTCACTAAGTGATGAGGACTTACTGTAAATATGCTTTGCAAACTGGCATTAATTCCTTTTAAGCATATTTTTGAAATCAGAAATGTGTACACTCTACACACTACAGTTGTAAGATGAGAGAGTGAGAAACTCTCAGTTTAGCCTAAAACTAAATAGTAGTTGTTCTGTACCATTTAACAGGGCACCCCTGTCATTCTATACAGTCCAAGTGTGGAACAACTTTCTGTTTTTAGATTGCGAGACAGTTGAGACAGTTGAGATAAGAGAGTGAGAAACCCTCAGTCTAGGACTGTGTGGGCTTTGTAGCACTTTAAATAAACCCTTTTCTTAATGTAATTCTGCATTATTTTGGTACTGTTTTCTAATTGTGGTTGTAAGTTGTAACAACAACCAAACAGGTTAAGTGTCGTTCCATACCATTCAACAGGGGACCCCTGTCATTCTATACAGTCCAAGTGTGGACCAACTTTCCGTTTTTAGATTGTGAGGTTTCAAACAAGTCAACATATAAAGCCCTGTTCATAGATCTGTATCATTTTGTGATGGTTCTGAGATGAGCTGCTAATAAGTCATTAGCATTTCAAAGCCAATTTAAAGCACTAACATACCAGTTAGACTGTAGAGCTTAACATACATTAACCCTAACCCTAACAGTGGGCTTTGCAGGGTTAATCTATCCTCTAGCTGACTTGTCCCTTAGATGTGTCCAAAATAAGTCATTTTTGTTGCTTCACTTACACTTACATATTGTGTGTCATGATAGGTTGTCATTATGTTTTCACAATACACTCCACATTAAAAAAGCTACAATGACAGCATTGCTGGTGCCACTTATATTTAGTTCAGATTTTTTCTTTTCTTTTTAAATTACTTTAAACTTTACTACTTATTACTGCCCTGCCTTCTGGATAGCCCTTAATTTTAATACAATCTGATGCTACAAACTAGTCAGGAAATTCACATCAGTTGAGCCTTATTGTTTTGTTACAAATAACATTAAAATATCATGTTGCAAGAGACAATTTACTTGACATTTTTTTACCAAAAATATTATTATTATTATTATTGATTTAGCTTGTTTCTCTTATTCATCCATGCTGGAGTAAAGTGGGACCTTGTGTCATTATGTAACAGTCAACAGTGGACTCCTGTCATTTTATACAGTACAAGTGGGGACTTTTTGATGTACTTAGAATTAACAGAAAATTATTGAGAAGAATTCCAAACTGAGCTTGTTTATTGAAAAACTGAGTGGTCAGTCAGTATTTTGGGACTGAGCCACTTTAAAGGGCTAGTCAAAGTCTGATGTCAAGTTCATTAATAAAAACTGAAAAGAAAGGATCTTGCAGCTGACCACTTTATTACTAATTTTTTCCTGGTTGTCTTTTATTTCTCTTAAAGTACTTTAAATACTACTACTGACTCCTTTTTTTTATGAATTTCCCCAGTGTGGGATCAATAAAGTCTATCTGATCTTATCTTTTGGACAGCTCTTTATGTTAATACCAGTTCAAGTTTGGAACTTAGGACATCCACTGAAGGTGAGCTTTTTTTTTATCACAGAAACTGAATAACAAATCATGTTTCACTATAGCTGAGCCTTTATATATATATATATTTTTTTACAAAACAAGGCCGAATATGGATCAAACACTCACACACCTTTAAGTCCCCTGTTGGCAAAAAAGTTCACCAGAGCGCATTACACATGATTTTAGGTTGATTTAAAGCATGTCCAAGAGGGGACCCAAAAAAAAGTTCCCTGTCTGTCTCTCAGTCCCCTGTTTGTGGGTGTGTAATGATGCTCAAGTTCCCTGTTAACACAAACACACAGACACACACAAACACACTAACCCATTATGTTTCTTCATAACCTCAGCCTTAACAGTTATCTTTTCCCAGTCAATTACAGGAAAAAGATAAACTCAATTACATTTCTAACCGACTCAGCAGCCAACGGGGGATTTCAGTAGATAGATGCAAACAGCTGAGAGTGAATGGAGGAGAAGAAAAAAAAGGCTGGACTAAAATAGCACCCTCTGTTCCCAACACATCTTGAGCAAAATGTTCTACTGTGTTGCACATCACTGGTGCTTTAATATAATGCCCATTATTATTAGTTCACAGACAAAAAGTTACTGCTGTCAACTCGACTCTAATCTATACATCATCTTATCAAAACTATTTCAGTATTAATAATAGCTTTTTTGGTGTTTCAGTGTCTGTATGTGCTACCAGCTAGGCCAGACTGTACTATAAAACTACTGACTAATTACAACCAGGGTTCTAAATTAACACCCGCCGTGTTAATAAAAACTTACTAGCAGTGATGCATGAGGCAATCATGTCAGTTGGAGCCACTCTACTGTTCTCGCTCCCCGGGCAGTACTGACTACATTTCCCATGAACACTGTCGTGATGCTACGTGATGACGTATAAGACGTCCATTGGCTGCGCGCAGGCAGTGCAACCAACCAGCGCGAGAAACCATGGAAACACAAAGAAGAAGAAGAAAAAGAATGAATGAACGGAGCAGAAACTATTAAAAGAAGGGAGGGAGCTAGCTAAAGTAAATTAAAAAGTAGCCTAAACTTAAACTAAATGCGGCGGTGGTTGGTTGGACAGACGTCTGGGGGCGAGAAGAGGAAGGAGGCAAGGGATGAGATTGAGAATATCAACAACAATGCGTGCGAAACGAAAAAAAGAAAGTTCAATACCAAATGGCTGACGGGTCATGAATGGCTTGTGTTTAATCATGAAAATGTTGTCATGTTTTGTAAGGACTGCTGCATGTACGCAAAAGAAAAAAACAAAACAAACAATTTCGTGGTGGGAACTAATAATTTTAAAGTTGAGGCTGTAAAGGACCATGAGAGTGCCCGGAGTCATCGGGAGAGCTTAACGATTAAATCCGCCAAAACAGATCGTATTGAAGAGAGCCTTGCTGGGAGAAGCCTTTCTTTATTAAAAACATCGGAGCTGGAGAAGATGCAGCTACTTTTTCGAAATGCTCATACCATCGGAAAAAAGGGTGTCCTTGATCTCTTTGATGCTCTCCTCACCATCCCTGCAACTAGAGCTGATTGCGAAAGAGGGTTCAGTGTGATGAATCAGGTAAAGAGTGACTGGCGCTCACGCCTGAAAGGTGAGACCCTCTCTGACCCAGTTGTGTTCACCTGACATCAAAGACTTCGATCCAACCAAAGCCATTGACATCTGGCATGCTGACAGTTTGCGCTCATGCAGGCCTGAGTTTGTGCGCAAACATGGAACAAAAGGAACTGAGGATGGCTCAGATTCAGATGAACAAATGAGTTCAGAGAGTGCTGAAGAAATTTGATGCGGTAGAGCTCTGAAATTATCAAAATGAAAAATAAATGATTTTTTTTGTTGTATGCATGTACTGTATGTGTATGTATTGTATTTGGATTGTGTTAATAAAATCCAAAATGTAAAAATAATTCATTCAGCGGCACTCATCTCTCTTATCTAATCTCTCTAATCTCTAATTTTCACTGGAAAAAATTGGCTAGTGGAAATTCTGATTGGCTGGTAAACAAAAAAGTTAATTTAGAACCCTGATTACAACTACTAAGAGGAAAATAACAGAGGGAAATATATTCAAATTAATATAAACTGACCACTACTTGAGTACTAAAAGTCCCTTCCTGTGCTACCTACACTGTTTCATTTTGGTGTTTACAAGTGTTGACTATGACTTTGTAAGTAAAAACTGAGTAATGCAATGTGATATTGTACTAAACTGTGAGCTAAACTACAAGCTACAATAATTTACAGAGGTTTCTTTGACATGTTTGAAAACACAACCCTGGCATGACCTCAATGACAAGCAACTTTAACATGTTTTCTCATTCTTTTCACAAATAAATTAGGTAATTTTGTGATTGCGCTTGACTCAGAATACAATTGAGATCACCAACTGCATATCATTTACAGAAATTAACAGCAATTTAAGTTTAAAGAAAAAGTTTTATAGTTTCAATATGAACTCTTTTTCTCTAACTGGGTGAGCCAATGGGATAAACACAAGCCAGCCAAACACTCAACATGTTTAATTAGTCAGTTACCTACCCCAAAAGTTTCTTCCTCAGGTTTGGGAGTCTGTGCAGTCGGGGTTACTGGTAGAAAAAACACAGGAACAGCTGGGTTTGAAAATCACAACAATTTACTGCCCCACTGCTTCTCCCGGGAATTCATCACACACAAAACAATGAATTCAAATCATTAATACACAGCATGAAAAAAGAGCTGCAAACACAAAGAGGTCAAAGACTCATAACTGACACAATATCATCTATACAATCTAGTACAGTCCAGTTCAGTAGTCCTGAAGTTTGTCTAAATTCAAGTTTACAATAGTTTTTAATTATTCATTGGTACATTTTTAAAATGTAAATGTTTATTGTTTTATCAGCAATGCATTTAAATGTATTCAGTGTAATTGTCTGAACCTTGTTTCTAACTTCTAATGAATTAGCAGAGATGTGGACTCAATGTGACTTGGAGTCGAATCACTGTTTTGATGACTTGCCACTTCACTTGACTAAAAACACGCCGACCAGCCATAGGGTGCAGAGGCAGAGCGGGTCGTCCCCTAATCCCCCTAAGGTTGTTGGTTCGATCAGATCAAATCATGCCTGTGCCAAGAGTCAATTGAGACTCGACTTGAGTTAACTAAGGACTCAACTTGACTTGACAAATCCCATACTTTATTACTTTATTTCCCGAAAACTATAATCACTGGTAAATTACACAAATGAAACATACAATGTTATTATGTATGTTATTTTTCATCACAGTCGACTGTTGTAACCAGGCTTCATTCGCCCTGCCTCAGTTCACTCACACTCTTTGACCATTTTTGGATTAGTGAGGGGCGGTGGAGTCACAACTGCCAAGATGGTGACAGCCAGTGCCGACCACACTGAGCTTCACAATGGCTCTTTAGAAACCTATGTCACAGAGACTGTCACAGAGATTATGTCCATTTTTAACTATACAGTCTATGGTGCACACAAGCTAATTGAGCTTGAGCAGTTGGGGCCTTTAACATATGCGGAGGACGTCATGATGAAGAGCTAATGCCTTCTTGATAAGCCTGAGAATCAAAACCATTATAAAAAGCACTTACCATAATCATAATCTGTTTCTGGGTCTGTGAAAGAAAGAAAAGTGAGGAAGATATTGTAAGTACTGTACAGACAAGCTAAAGTAGAGGATGGACATGTTTGAGTGTACATGGGAAAGGGATAACAGGATATGGAAACAAAAATGGCTAGGAGCTATTAAAGAAGAACAAATGTAAGATGATAAACAGAGGGCGTAAGGTGTGAAAATAGCAAAACACCAGAAAAACACTGTTAACAAGATCATCACCTCTCGTCTAAATGCAGCTCGTCTGCATTCTCACATCTTATTTACACATAGACTAAATATAAGCTTTATTTCAACACATCATCAAGTCAGAGGGCTGCTGATAAGAGGCTGACATCACACAGGGAAACGTATCCCCATGGGAACAGAGTGCTGTGACTCTGTGTCGACCAGACGTTCTAAACCAGGCTTCAGGAAGTGACTGGAGGAACCCAATCGCCAGACAGAATGTTGCTATTAGACATTAAATGACAGTGTTTTTCAATTTATTGCTGCAATATACATGCATGGCAGCTATGGTTAAGGTATGCTGGGGTTAGCAACTAAAACAGTTAGGTAAGGTTAGGGTTATCTGTGACAGTCTCCTACACCAAAGACGGATTTCCCATCCACCACTCCAACCTCGACACTATTAAAATTGCTCAAACAAGTTGAATATACACTACTTGTAATTATTGTTTTCTAAGTGATGATGACAATGCTACAGGTTTAGGACACTGTACATTACGTTTTTTAGCAACTTCAGAGTGGTTAGCGTAAGGTGCTTGTGCAGTATGTTCTGGGTCACTGCCCTGTTACAAAATTAATCGTCTCCCAGAACTCTTGCAGACTGCAGCAGATTTTCCTCCAGGGTTTTTCTGCTCCATGCATTTTTCTTCTCTCTTTCTGAGTTTGCCAGGTCCTGCAGCATGGGAGCAGCTCCAGAAAGCCAAGGACACGCCACAAAAATTCAAAACCCACTATAACACTTCTCTCCAATGACAAGTGTTTTGATTTGGGTACAAAGATACTGTACTGGTTTGGCATTTTACATTCAAAAGTAATTTGTTGCTAATAAGTGTCTAAATGAGACTACAGAGGTTGTCAGTGACATTAAAACACAGAGACTTATCTACTCACTAGTCCGCCTTTACAGCTTCATGTTTATACTTGTGCTCTTGAAAATTATTTTAACTCAGACTTTAAAATTTATAGATTATAGATTCCTATATTCCAAAATCCAATGGAACATCCCATTGGCATTTGGTCCAAGGAAGCACGATGATTACAAAAAATGCCTACAAAAATATGTCATCTGTTATGCAAAAGAATATGTATTTCAAATGTGTTAACAGAATTGACATTTGTTTGCTGGGTGCATCAAGTGAGGGGACACACAAGATATGAAGTGGAGCTAATATTGTTTTCAATATTTTTTTTTAAACAGATATGCATGGTATGCATATTTAAAAACCTTGCTGGATCAGAAAGTGATTGATTTTCTTTCAAATATACATGAACTGTAAGTTGAAATACAAGTTTATGCGTTAAAGAGGATCCAGGGCATTGTCAACGTTCCTAAATGCCTTCCAGTGTTCCAAGCAAAATCATGGTTTATAGTTTGGTCCACTGTGCACATTGTGACCTTTTATTTTCTATAATCTTGTTTAATTCTTTTTAAAGATTTCTCTGCTCTGTTTGGCATTTTGGTTTTGCATTTCTGCCAGTTGTTTGCCACTCATGGTTTTTGTAGTTGTCTGTGACGTGAGGACACAACCAATCATGATGGACAGTAGTGACAGCGAAACCCTTCATTTTCTGGTTTCATTTGAAAGGAATTACTACAGATAACGCTCTGTTTCTACAGTACAGCAAAATACAAACTATAATAGTTGTAGATATGAAATTAACTCAGCATGCCCCTCAAAGTCCCAACTTACCATCGAAGGGTTTGTCGAGGAAGTGTCCATACACGGTATTGGTAGCTACACCCAGGTAGTTGGAGGCCTCCAAAGTATAGTTGCCGTTGTTGTGGTGTGTTGGATTCTTAAAGGTTAGGCAGCCCTCTATGTAGTCCTGATAAATATCCATATCAGGGCGCACATACTCAGTGTGGGTAATTTCCTGAATTGAGAGTGACAGAAGAGCAAAAAATGAACAGTGCCATCAATCATCAGCAAAACTTCAAACCTACTGAGAGAGATCAAACTTTAATTCTATTAAAATAACAACATCGAGAACAAGAACAACTGGTTTGTTTTCACATATGTTTCTCATTAGTTTCTATTGTCCAAATAAAAATGGCAAGTTAAATCTCAAACTGCCAGAACTGTTTCACAGTTGCAGTTTGGTAAGGTGCAGTTAGATCCTGGGGAAAGTTTGGCAAATTTGATGCTCTTTATGTCAACTGATTTCCTTCTCTGCTCCTGTCATAATTACTATGGCCACTAGAAGTCACCGTCTAAAATTAAATGTAAATATGGGTGGTAACAAACTGCCTCACAATCTATATGGCCATTTTTCTGGTGAGGACGGTCTGAAAGAGACTATACTCCGCTGTATATTCACAGTGAACTCACAAGCAAGAAATGCTTCTTCTACATGGTATTTTGCATTCTGAAAATATCATGTCTACAAATCTTTTAGTGGTCCATCTCAAGCATATCTGATTGAATGGATACACTATTTTAATAAATCCAACTGTCTGCACAGGCTACGTATTGGCTCACATTTCACTAATGCTGGGTCAATGCCACCCAATATGCAGGAAATCTATTTTCTTCTGTTTAGTACAGTAATTACAGTGATTGTGTGTTGAGCTTTGAGTGCAGCCAAAACTCAGGTGGCTTATCTTCCATACTGTGCCTGAAAGCAACTGGTATTAACACTAATACACACTAATACTACTAACACTGCTAATTCTTATGCTACACCTCTTTTTTAGACATGGTGTAAAACATATGCACTCCACTGCAAGGGGGGATCCTTGCAAACTTACCCAGTTTGGGAACCACTGGCTTAGAGGAAACACAACCAGACTGTTTTTTCTGTTTTCTCTACATTCCTTCATCAACCACCACCATACAGTGAACTAAAAAATCATAAACCTCCCAAATCATGTCTCATGTAGCCTAAGAATTACAGATATTTTTTAAAAACCATATACACTACCTAATGTTTTTTTTTTTTTTTTTATATTGTTTTAATATATTTAATTTAATGAATTAATAAACTTATTTCATTTTGCACAGGTAATCAAAGGAACGTTCAAGAAGAGCAGCCATGTACAGAAGAGGATTAGGGCCACGTGAATAATTTTTTTGAGTTCCTAATTCTTTTCTGTAGCCATGAAATAACACCTCAGCAAAGCATTTGAAAAATGTAAGTTGCACTTGACCCTTACAAGTGAATCAAATGCACCTTATTTTGGTAGAACCATCGTAATGTTGGGTGGGGCGACCCTCGAACAGTGAACTCTATGCATGTGTCATGGCGGCGTTCTGGCTCCTTCAGCTTCACGATGGAGGGAGGAACTGCAGAGACAAACGAGAACAGATAATCTCTGTTCACTTAGTAATTGAAACAGTGGAAGACAAAAATATTTTACTGTATCACACTGTCACACTTGATTGATTTATTGTTGCAGTACATGAATGGACAAGAGAGGAAGAGAGAAAATACGGCACAAAAACGGGAGGGACCTTGATAATCATTTTAATATGCTGGTCTCATCAAAATCTGTTCAAATCGATTCAGAGGGTGTGAGAGTGTGTTTGCCTCTTCTCGTGTTTCTCTCTGTTGACTTACAAAACTGCATCTGAGTGCAAACACAATTTGCTGTTTGCTACAACAGTGTTATCCTCTTACCACAGCCGACTGCAAGAAATTCAAACCAGCAGCTGAGAAAGACGATCACTGTTATTAGTCATTCCACCACAAATTATCCCTTCAAGTACACACACACACACACACACACACACACACACATCCTACAGGATATGTTATCAGGGTTGCTTGGATGAGTTTCAGAAGGTCCAGATGCTCAAAAACGAGTATATAAATGACAATGGCTGCGCCAAATAGTCAAAGAGTAAATTTAGGTAACACACTATATGGATAGTCCGCCTACAGATAGGTACCATAAAGCATTTGATCTGTTGTCTGTTCATCTGCTTTGTCTGCAGATGTTTAACACATTATCTACATAGAATCCGTTACAATTCATGAACATTCCCTAACCTAATGTTCTCTTTCAAACCTCGCTCAGTATCTCACTATGGGAAGCGCCTCCTGGTGTGATCAATCATGGAAGCTCCAATAACACCACATCTATCATTAGACAGACCAAAAAAAAATAACAAGGGGGAGGAGAGAGATTTGTGTGATGGCAAAATCCTGCCTTCTCGTCAGGTCTCCACCAGGCAGCTTCTGGTGTACATGAAGGAGAAGAAGTGATATTGGGGGAAGTCATTCCCACAGTTCTAGTCAAGGGTTACTCTGGCCTGGACATCGCTAACAGTGAGGTTCTGGGGCTCATGGATCCCCCGGCAGTGGAGCAGGCGGTGCGGTAACATCTCTATCCCAACAGCCGATCCACCATCGCCTCTGTGAGTCCCGCCCTCCTGGGTAAAATGTAGCACTTCACCGCTTCCATTTACCAGAAGGTGTAAAAGGCTGCAGCCCAGTCCACTAAGAATCTGAACGTGGTCATCCTGCTCACAGCTTATCAGGCTGAGCTGTTCCAGGACATGGGTCATATTTCTATTTGGGAGGAGAAATGTGTTGTCACGGATGTTGTTCTGCGCGTGTCCAGAATGTGGTACAGGTCTATGGCCGCGCCATGGGCCTGGCTGTGGCGGGGTAGAGATCGCTGTGGCTAAATCTCTCCAGCCTGCCGAACCAAGATAAGCAGGTCATAATGGATTCCCTGTTCGACCTGTCACAGGATAAGGGCTTGTTTGGGGAGGTTGTTACAGCCATGCAACAGGCCAGCGAGGAAGAAGCAGGGGGAGGCCTTCAATCTGCCTTCCCGCAAGACAAGAACTCGCCCACCACCAACCCGCTCGGGTTTTGCGGCTGTGGCAGCGAGAGAGTGCGGGAGCTTTAAAGGCCCCAGATTCTAGTCACCCGAGCAGACAGCACACCAGCAGGGCTCCCAGGGCCAGGAGCATTGGTGCAAAAAGTATTTTGCCACCACCACTTCAGCCACAATGTTTAGCTGCTCATCCCGCCAGCCTGAAGGGAAAAAGAGGTGGCCGATTTAGGAGCTGTGGTTAGTGGAAATAGAAGCTCAGCAGTCAGCACTCAGAGATCCCTGTCCTGAGTCCTGGGGACAGACTGGAAATGGCCCCCATTCAACCCGTTCAAAGACGTGGAGAAGCACATGCTCCACAGCTCATTTACCCCCCCTCATTGCCCTTCGGGGTCAGTTCAGAGGGAAGAGGTAAATTGTTGAACAGAGTTCATACAAAGCACTTCAAATGTTTTTTAATTAAAGAGACCACTGTTGCAGCCAGGTGTGAGGTCGAGGGCGGCACGTGTAATCCAAAAAAGAGAAAACACGAAAGTGCAGGACAGAATGGCACTGCAAGAGGGCACAGCTGTTCCGGTGTTGAGCTTCTAGCCCCCAGGTCCTATCGCTGTCAAAGTAGAAGAATGGCGCGCATGTGCAGTGCATCCCTGGGTGTTTACAACCATTGCCAGGGGATACAGACACCAGTTTGAAACGAAACCACCAATTTTAATGGTGAGGTGTTTTCAGAGGCCATAGGGGAGGATGCAAGGGCTTTGGAGAACCAAATTTCTTCTCTCTTAAGCCAGAGAGCAATCCGAATTGTGCCAGAAATTAATCCAGGCTTCTACTCCCAGTATTTCGTCATCCCAAAGAAGTGAGGTTCATTACAGTGGCTGTGGCACAGAGGCAGAGCAGGTCGTCCCCTTATTGGAAGGTTGTTGGTTCGATCCCCTGCTCCTGGTGCCTCATGTGGAAGTATCCTTGAGCAAGATACTGAACCCCGAATTGCTCCCGATGCCATGCATTGCTGTGTGAAAGGGAGACTGTGACACGTAGTGTAAAAGCGCTTTGAGTTGTTGGAAGACTAGAAAGGCGCTATACAAGTACAGGTCCATTTACCATTTACAGCCAATTCTGGATTTGCATATCCTCAATTCCCACCTCCGCAAGTTCAGAATGCTCACACACAATGTGCTGTTCCGCTCGATTCAGCCAGGAGACTGGTTAATATCGATAGACCTGCAGACCTGTAAATGGACCTGTATTTGTATAGCGCCTTTCTAGTCTTCTGACCACTCAAAGCACTTTTTAGACTACATGGCACATTCAGTCCATCACCACCAGGACTGTGCAGCAGTGGAGGCCTTGATGGAGTGTTACAGGACAACTGACTGATGACATCGAGGGTCTCACCCTAGTGTGTCACAGACTACATCAGGTTCTGTGAGGACAACATTATCCCTGCCAAGAGGATTTGCTGTTTCCCCAACAACAAGCCCTTGATCAACAGGGACATCAAAGCCCTCACTGCATGAAAAGTGGGATTTTCGTCAGTAAGCGGCACTGTAGATTGTCGTGGAGATTCAGGTTTAAGACTGCACACGGCAATTTGCAGGCAACACCGGAATCTGCCATAAATTTTCGGAAATTGACGTGGGCCTTGCTTGGCAGTTGTCCCCCCTAGACCCCCCTCCCCCTAATTCTAGGGGAGGCTTTAACATGTATATGAAAATGCTGTGAGCTATACAAATGCAAATCAGGGTAGCAGGGGGAGTTTTACCCCAGGTTTCTAAAAGGTAAGAAAATCTCTGGTATAAATAGATCAGGCTCAGTAAAGCCTAATTATAGACTCATAAATTTGAGCTTGAATTGATTTATTTAATGAAAGTATGCTAGATTAATTACTGTCATTAGCAATGGCAAATGTTATAAAAAAGATACACAAAACAATTTATTTCAACAATTAGTTTTCATCAGGCTTTGCCGCAAAGGTAAAATGCGCATTCCATGCAAACAACATCAAAATCAGAATCAGAATCAGCTTTATTGGCCAGGTTTGTGTAAACAAACAAGGAATTTGACTCCAGTTAATCTTTGCTCTCAAAGTACAACACACACTTAACATATAAAAAATAAGAATAAAAAAATAAAAAACATAAAAGAATAAAAGCAGAACAGTAAGAATAGAAGGAAGAGCAGTAGAGTATGGAGAGACTAACTCTAAGAAGAGAAGAAGGGTGCACAATCCCAAGAATGCGGTAAGAATATGTTAGGTGACTACTAGCTAAGCTAAAATTAGCCTAAAAGCAAAGTTTTTTTTTTAAGTAGCCCAAGCTAAAAGTAGCCTAGTAGCCTTGTAAAAGAACAAGTGAGCAGAACCATCGTAAGTTGCTTAATAAAAGTGTATTTTTTTGTCTTGTAATTTACAGGAAGCAGTACGCCGTCTTCACAACTCGGAGACAAATTGTAGGCGCTACGAACCGGAGCAAAGGTAAGATTTCAGGTGCATTCAAAGATGTGTTGTGTCCATACGCAGTGCATCGCGCAGTACTGATTGTCTTTATTGATTGTTTTTACAGTTGCTGGAAGCGGGACGGAGTGTGCTAGATGAGGAAGAGGGGGAACTTTGGAAATCCGCCACCATAGACCTGATGTCTGATCAGGAAAACAAGATCGTTGGCGGGGTGTCTGGATGGATTGTGCGAACTCCGTCCTTTCGCAGCCAGGAGCTCACCGAGCTCTGTGCCACGCTGCAGTCGAAATTAGAGGCGACTCCGAAGTACAGGGAAACGCACCACAGACGTCTGCAAAATGGGCCAAATTCAAACAGAATGCCGCCAATTAACTACAGCTCCGAGGCAGCAAACAGCCAATTCACGGTGCTGTAGAATTTTGGGCTTCTCATGAGCTTCCCATTTGTTGTGTGGGCAGATCTCGATTGTACATAGTTGTGTGTTTGTGCTAATAAAGCTCTTTCTTTGAATAAACATGTTCCTGGCAAATTTTCCTTTCCTCAATAAATACATTCATGGGAGGAGGCCACGGGGCAGACCGAGGACCAGGTGGAGAGATTATATCTCAACACTGGCCTGGGAACGCCTCGGGATCCCCCAGTCAGAGTTGGCCGATGTCGCCAGAGAAAGGGAAGTTTGGGGTCCTCTGCTGAACTTGTTTGGGGTCCTCTGCTGAACGCGACCCGACCCCGGATAAGAGGATGAAGATGAATGAAAAATGAATATATATAGATAATTATAATTTTATTATTGGGGGTTACATTTATAATGACCCAGGATGACCAATAGTGACAGAACTGCCAACCGATCCCAAGTGATTTTTCTTGTTTAAAAGTAGTGGTTTCATCCAATACTGAGCAAGGAAATTCAAGCCAGGCCTGGCCATGCACGGTTTTGCTGCTATTCATATGCTAATTAGATCCATTAGCACTACTCCGCGAGCTCTCCATATACGTCATGGTTCGTTTCCGACAATATGTGGCACAGACAAACATTTCCGGGCATT